TTCTTCATCCCGCTTTTAGATCTCCGGCTGGATTCTATTGTAGTGGAATAGACTTAACAAAGAATCCTCTCAAATTCTGCTGAAGTAATTAGGACACGGACATTAGAGGTGACATTAGGGGAAACAGCAACTCCAAGGAGCTCTTGACCCAGCCTGCAGCCTGCCTGTGTAACACACATCACGTCAGTATGTTAGAAGGTGAGCATCAAGCCAAAGTGTAGAGCACAGCTCAGAGGGATGCCTTATGTCTGGATGCAGACGCACTCAGTAAGCCCTACCTAGGCTCACCATCCACCTCTGCATTAACATAAAGACTGCAAAGGTTCAAAGTTTTCCTACACACAATCATGACAACAGCATGTGGTCCAGTGCCTACCCATCCTCAGTCTATATGACTGTCACAATTGCAAATATGTGGCTACTGTGGGATTAACTTCTCCCACTTGTAACAATAAGATTGTCTAATGAAATTATAAAAGCTTATCCCGTTTAAGGACTCCTTGTATGTTCATGTTCTCATGTGTTAGTGCTCACGGTCATGGGAGGCATCCATAAAGCAGGACAACATAGCCAAACTGATATTTTTGGCAGAGGGATGGACCACAGTTGTAATCCTATCCCTGCTTAAATGATGCTTCTCTCTTTCTCCTTTTCTCCCCATTCTTCTCCTCCTCTGAATTTCTCTACCTACCATCCTCCATCTCTCTCCCTCCCAGCCTTGTGTGTATGTATGTGTGTGTAAGTGCATTTTGTGTGTGTGTGTGTGTGTGTGTGTGTGTGTACGTGTGTGAGTGTGAGGGGACAAGCATCTGCTATACTCTAATTGAACTTTGTGTGGGATTGAAGATATTATTGCCAACAAGGAAGTGCTTCCATGCTTTAGAAGAAAATGTGTACTAAATGAATACCAAACCATCATTAACTAAATCTGACAATACTCAAGAGTGGAGAAACACAGAACATGTCACATTCTCTTCGGTATAGTAACTACCCAAAGCTTCCAATTGCCTCTTAGAGTAGAATTCTCTTTCTCTGTAGATTGTAGAGAAAATAGGCATAGTAAACGGGGGAAGAGATTTACACATATATACAGAAAAAGTAGGGATGAAGAGGGAGAGGGATCCAAAATGGATGCAGAATTATTGCAATAAATAATATTTGTTCATTTTAGGGTCATAATCAATGGGCATGCTGAGCTCAGAGTGGTTAGAGACAGTTCCTATCCCAGAGTCTGTCAGAAGAGTTGCTTCTACCACACGGTTCATCTACTCAGAGTAGACGGGGGCCAAAGGTGCTTCTTGTTTATTTCTGCCTCTGTTCACAGCTCTTCCTCAAGGGAGAAGGAAGAATGCCACCACTGCTTAGGAGATGATAACTGCCCACCGCACCATCAGAACACATTCCTGTGGGGTTATGATAATGTGTTCTCAGTCTGTTGGACTAGCCAAGCTTAGTGAGATGTAGCGATGAGCAGAATTTCCTGTATGGAAGCATTTTAGGGGCTGTTTTAATTCATTTCTGATACTTCAGGTAATGTATAAAGCAAAGAGTTATGGCTGGGCGAAGGTGGCACACATTTTTAATCCCAGCACTTGGGATACAGTGGCAAGTGGATCTCTGTGAGTTCAAGGCTAGCCTGGTCTACAGAGAGAGTTTCAGGACAGCTAGAGAGACATCAAAAACCTTGTCTCAAAAAAAAAAAACCAACAAAAAGCAAAACAAAACAGAAAAAGAAGTGTATTTGGCTCGTGGTGTAAGCTGTTGAAAGTTCCAACAGCACAGTGCTGGCTCACACCACAGAGGATGACATTACAGCAGGAACGCTGTGTGAGAGAGATCACATGGTAAGATAGGATGTCAGAGAGAGTGTTAGGAAGGTCTAGTTTTGATGAACTAAAGTGGAAAGGAATAGGAAAATTTCCTTTAGTCTACCTGTAGTTGGACTGCAACCAAGACAACTGTATCAGAGTTCCGACCTAAGGTAAGTCTACTGCTTACCTTGATAAGCACCATGGAGACACTGCTCCCATTACTCACTACCCATTACAGGACCAAGTGAAGACACAATCTCAGAAATAAATACAGTTGGTGGATTAAAAAGCTAGTTGTATAGAGCAGTTACTTTGTGCTGAATAAACGTGCTCCCTGTGTAGTGACTCAGGTAGTCCTTATAACACTATTGGGTAGAAAATGTGTTTTCTCATTTTATACCTTAGGGAAGGGAAAGAGAGGAGGTCACATAGCTATTAAGTGATGTAGTTGAAATTCCAAAACACATTCTGCTTGAGAGTCCAACTACCATAGTATATTCCTTTTATAATTAGTAGTATGTAAAATCTATTTTTTGGAAAACTAGATTTTACTATTGAGATGACAGGATGAAAGATTAAAGCTGAATATAGACATACAAGGTGGAGAGTCCCACAAACCTCATCATACAGCCACAGTGAAAATGATTCAGGTGAGAGGAGGGTGGTCCGTTCTCCCCACCCTCACGCTTGTTTTCTCTGTCACGGCTTGTGTTGCAGTCGTTTTTCCTCTAAAGCATGGTTAGGAGGAAAATGCTTCTGAGCTGTGGCATAATTAGATGTTTGGGTGAGAACAAGTGAGGATTTGGAACTGAAGAAGCCCAACAAGATGCACAAGTCCAGAACCTAGTATTTCCAGGACCAGAGTCCACAGCTGCAGCAAAGACAACAGAAAAATTCATGCAAGAAGGAATTAGGTTGTAGTGATATTTTGCTTGTGTTTTAACAAATAAAGCTTGCCTAAAGATCAGAGCACAGAGCTAAGCCACTAGAGACCAGGCAGTGATGGTGCATACCTTTAATCCCAGGACTTGGGAAAGAGAGGCAGACAGATCTCTGTTACTTCATGGCTACCCTGGGCTACACAAAATTGTTCCAGTCTAAAGGAGAAACAGAGCTCAGCATTTGGGATTGCCACACACCTGTAATCCCATCATTAAGGAGGTAGAGACAGGAGTGGTACGGCTGAGTGGAGAGAGGAATGTAAGGTGGGGGAAGAGAGGAGCTCATTGCAGCCCGAGGCAATAGTCTGAAACCATCTGAGGAGCAGTGCAGTCTGAAGATTAATAGAGACGTGATCGCCCTTTCGGTCTGAGCATTGGTAGAGATAAGAACTCTCTAGTGGTTGGCTGCTTTGCTTCTGTGATCTTCAGCATTAACTCCTATAATTGAATCTGGGTTTTTATTATTAAGAACAATTAGAATTCAAGGTACATTGGATAAGATAAATAATAACAAAAAATGATGTTAACAAATTTTTTTGTTCTGTCTTAGGCAACTGATTAAGTCATTTATATACATTATTATATTAAACCTCATAAAAATCACATAAGGCAAGAATTTAAAATAACATCTTAATTTCTTGAGAATTTCATACAATTTATTTTGATGACAGTAACTCTCCACCTCCCACCATCTCCTCACAGATTCGCCTGCACCTCCTCACGTACCCACCTTGTTGGGCCTCATGAGCCTGGAGTGTGAGGCCCAGTGTAATTTCCTGAGCCTAACTTGAGTTGACGTGAGGCCTAGTGTAACTTCCTGAGCCTAGATAGAGTTTGGAGACCTGTCTCTGGCTAAAGATTCATAGCTAGCATCCACATATAAAAGAAAACAAGACATTTGTCTTTCTGTATCTGAGTTACTTTACTCAGGATGACTGTTTCGGGCACCATCTATTTGTCTTCAAATTTCACTTTTTTTTTAACAGATGAATAATATTTGCTTGTAAATTTTCCTTTTTCATTCATCAGCTAATTGACATCTAGATTGTTTCCACTATGGTTATTGTGAACAGAGCAGCAATGAACATGGATAAAAATATTCAAGTAGAGTCCCTTGGGTGTATGCCCAGGAGTGGTATAGCTGGATCCTGTGGAATATCCATTTCTAGCCATCTGAGGAACCTACACACTGACTTTCATAGTGACTGCACCAGTTTGCGATCACACCAGCAGAAAATTAGGGCTCCTCTTTTCCTGACTTTACACTGCTATTTTTTGCTTCCCCCCCCCCACCAATTTTAAAAAATCTTATCCATTCTATTTGGGGTAAGATGAAATCTCAAAGTAGTTTTAATTTGTATTTCTCTGATTGTGTAACTTCAATATAACTTTGAAAAAAATATTCCTCAGCCATTTGTATTTCCTCTTTTGAGAACTCTCTGTAGAATTCTTTGCCCTGTTTTTTAATTGGGCTTGTTTTTTTCTCCTTTGATGTTTAATTTTTCAAGTTCTTTGCATAATCTTGATAGCAATCTTTCGTCGCAGGTGTGGCTGGTAAAGAGGCAGGAGTTTTAGTACCTCATTTATATGTAAGATAGCCAAGGCTATGCGAGATCAAGGAACTTGCTCAGATGATCAGTTAATGCCTCTAGTCTCAGCTAGCCTGGCTTTCACCCTACCACAGTGGAGTAGGCTCAGACTGAAGGGTGGGAGGGGCAGGAGAGTGTATTTTATTCCATACCCTCAGGGCTTTTTTTTCCATAAAGAGAATTTTGCAATTTAAACAGCATCTCAAAGATCAGACTAATTACATAAAGATCAAACTAATTACATTTAGATCTTAACATTCTAACATGGACGATATGTGGTAATTTTGGCTGCAGAAATAAAGTTATCATTGAGCTAGGAAGCCAGACATTTAGGGGAAAAAAATTAAAAACCTACATCTCTCTATCACAAAATGTAGAATTTGTGGTCTAATAAAGGAAGAAAACATTAAATGAATCGCGATAAGGGTTCCCACTTGCAAAGGCTCAAGATATTTCCCCTGCATGAGCTTCTGTGGTTCTCTAAGATGCAGGTCACCTTCTGTTGGTTAGATGTTGGGGAAACTCTGTTCATTGAAAGCTTTCATTCTTCTGAAAGATTCAACTTTGTTTCGGCTTCTTTCCTTGTTTCAAATGTGGCCCAGTGAGAAATGCTTCTGAAACAGGACCGTCCCCAGGAAAGAGAATAGTATGGGAAAACGTTCAATTAAGCTGCTTTTATTTTTGTAATATAGAATGAAAGTCCTTTGTTACTGGGGGAGAATGATACAAGTTCAGCAAAGCTTAATACATCAGTAGTGAAGTTCCCTTCACAGTTACACTGAGACACCCTTGACAGGGACTTGCCTAAAGAATCAAATGTCATGTCCCATCTAGGAACTATAGTTAAAAAAAAAAAAAGATGTTTTCTCACCTTGTAAGGAAGAAAATCATTACCAATATAGAAACGCAACAGTCATTAAATAAATTAAAAGCATGTTTAAACTTTTTCCATATACATATAATATATATTTAAATTGCCATGGACTGTACAAGCATTAAATTTTCAACTTAAACATTTACAGAAATTAGTGTGAAAAGTTGAAGGGAAAACTTTGTTTTTAGAAAAAGGGGGATCATTTTATCCCTTATAAGCTACATTAAAATACCGAGAAATCAGACTTACCCAAGATTTCTTACTTAGTTGCTTACTTCCTCATCCTTACAGATCAGGTATGCATAGCTATTCTCTAACCCAACCTTGATTCAACATGTTCAGACATTTGTTACTTGATAGCACAGAGAAAATTTAAAGCTTCAAGATTAACTGAATAATGTAGTTAAAAAAACATTGTATAAGTCAGACTGATGATAGTATTACTTACAATTGTCTATGAAATATTAAATGGGTAATAAGACTTTTATACAGAAATAGTAAAACATTATATTAACGAATAAATGATCATCAGTTAATACATAGCTAGGTGAGCGTAAAATTTAATCTGGAATACTGCAATCCTGAGATCTAAGGCATTCAATATCCAGTTTCCTTCTCCAGCATTAGATTCTGTAAATTATATATTATTTACACAGGTTACAATGAGGAATTCTTGAAATACTGCATGGATATGGGTAATCCCTTAACTGGAATTCCAGAAAACAGTTATCAGGAAAAGAATGCACAGAGTCAAGCCAGATGGGATCCTAACTCTAAGTGGGGAGGCAGACACAGGCTCCCACCCCTAATCATGAAGCTTTCTGAAACTGATACCCCCTTGCAGATGAAAAATTAGTATTCTCCAGTCGAGTGTTGCTGGGTATGTTAACCACACTTCAGGGTAGGCTCTGTGCCCAGGAATAAATATGCTCAACACAAAACTAACCCAGTGGTATTTTTTTTGTGGATTTTGTAGACTTTTTATTTAATAAAAAATAATTATTTTATTTTCCAATGTCTCTCCCTGTGTGTATCTGTCTTTCTGTGTATCTTTTTGTGGAGTGTGTGTGTGTGTGTGTGTGTGTGTGTGTGTGTGTGTGTGGTGTGTGTGTGGTTTGTGTGTGTGTGTATCTGGAAAAATGGCTAAAGCAGTGTTTGAAAGGAAAGACAGGAGGAAGAGTAAAGTTGAAAAGGGAAGGAGAGAGAAATAGAGATGGCCAAGCAGGTTTAATCTAGAAAACAGCTTTTAAAAATGTAATGGTTTCCCCATCAATCCCAATATTATATAGGAGAGTTCTCAAAATCTTACAGTGGCACCGTGTGGAAACTTGTGCCTAACACGTTGCATATAGGCACCTTTTAAGTATTCCTTTAAAAATAAAGTTTTATTAATTAAAATGTCACCCATGAAAGACTATGTATGAGACAGCTCATCTTAGAAAGCAAACTCTCTGCCTTTAATAATGGCTGAACTCTATAGACAGCTAAAGGCAGAAATGGGATGAAGCCTCATGGGTTCAGATCTCACATACACTCTGAAGTGACTTTCTTATTTCTAATCAGCATGTAAGTCTGATCTAAAAGACAACCGCCAGACACACACTACCTGAATTTACTCTGTCCTTCAGGTAAAAACAGTCACAGGATCTTTTAAATGTTTACATTGTGCATGTGTGTGTGTGTGTGTGTGTGTGTGCGTGTGTGCGCGCGCGCGTGTGCACACACGTGTGAGCACAGGTTAGAAGACAACTTATGGGCGTTCTTCCTCTCCTTCCACCATGCTGATCCTAAGAATGACTTGGGGAGTAAGCACTTTTACCTACTGAGATACCTTTCCAGTTTCCGAGGGAAAGACTATAAAGCAATTTTCAAGGACAAAAAATCTAAAAGGAGGCACTTATGACTATTGGAGCTGGAGACACCCTGTGGTCTGGACTGGCTCTCTTTCATAGTGGATAACTTTTAGCAAACTTTGATATAAGTGACTATAAGTTCCATGATGAAGGCTGATACCTTGATCTCTGGGGTGGAGAGCCTAGAAAAGGTGGGGAACATGATAGTCATGCACATGGTCATTTCTAACGGGTTTTAAGCGTCAACATCTGTGGACAGCAGCACACAAAGAAAGAGAGTAATTAGCAGAAGAACTAGAGAACCGATAACTCCAGGAAGTACTTCCGAAATTAGCTTAGAGCATATGAAAATGTTAAAAAAAAAAAAAAGGAGGTACAGGAGAGCTACATCTGGGTTTTCCAAAATGGAATTCCTGACTCTCTTTTTTCTGGAACTCAGTGAAATGCAAACATCCCATCAGGTGGCTGGATCAAGCATTGCTCTTGGCATATGCTCTCGAATCACGGCAATCATCAGTGGATGGTGCTCATCAGAATACGATATTTAAAAAAAGGAATCCCATGAAGATGGAGCTTCAGAACCACAAAAGGAAAAAGGTTTTAACAAAAGTACAGACACCTGGCACATGTATATACACACTAGCCCTCAGCGTATGCTAACTCAACACACACCATGATTGTGGAGAAAAATCAAGGGTAAACAAATCTCAGAAATTCTTTACATGAACATCAAAGCCAGCTGGGTGTATAGCAGACTGGGTTGCTCATGAATCTAAGACAAGAAAACTAATAAAAACCTCAAGATTCCTATCTACGTCTCTTTAGTCGTTAGATGAGTAGAGATAACGGGAAGTTATTGCTGTTATTTCCCACCTAGTTTTAAATCCCAATACAAAAATAAGTCAACAGCGTCTATAACACTCCTATAGTCAGTTTGAGTAATAGCTTTTCTTATGTGATTAAAAAAAAGAAATAGATGTCCACATTTACCAAAATCTTACTTTTAGTTACATTCAGAAGAAAATAAAGTTCAGTTTTGCTTGGTGGAACTCTTAAATCTATTTGTTCATTCTCTTTATGCAATAAAACATCTTTTGGGACAAAATGCATTGGCAGTGCAAAAACAGATAGAGTAAAAAAGAAAGGAAAGAAGAAAGAAATGGTCCATAAAACCCAACCAGTGACTGAATCGAGCCTTGGAGTCCCTTCTCTGCCGGGTTATCTGCAAGCGCAGGAGTCCACTGTCATGTTAGGGTAGACCTTGAGCACGACATTCTTGTTCTCATCAAAGAACAAGATGCTAAGCGAGGACATCTTTTCGGGCACACAGCAAGGCTCGGGAATTCCAGAGACGACCCCCACGGCTCTCACTATACTCTGAATGGTCGCGTGATTTGATGGCTTCAAAGACTGGAAAGAGAAATAAGAGCAGCATGTTAGGTGAAACTGCTTTCCCCAGACCTCATCACATTAAAAGGAAAAAAAAAAAAAAAGGATTTGTTTGAACAGTTCTAAAAAGGCCTACATCATCGAATCCTCAGTCCAAACTCCTCTACCTCCAAGGATATGCCATCTAATTTTTTTTTTTTGCAGAGACTCAGAGAGTTAAATGATATGTCTGAAATGTCTGAAGTCAAACAGCTGGTAAATAGTAGAGTGAAACTTGGAACTTGGTTCTGTTAGCAGGAATCATTTAATTAGAAACAACTCAGTCCTGAACCATCCAATTAATGTATCCTCCATGTTTTTAATTACAATGACAAAAAAATTGTCCCTGACCCCCTATGAACCTTTGAAGAACTCTAACAAACACACCAACAGAGATAATCATCACTAACTCTAGAGTGAAATTTATTCACCGTTATTAAAACAAAACAGAGTGGGATAGAAGGCTACTTTTATTTGCTTTATTTATTTGTTTTTGCCTAAAGGACGAGTCTTTGGTTGGTTACTTACTATCCCATTCATATAACAATTATTTAGTTCAGGCTACAGATTGGGGTGGACAAGATCATACCATTGGCCACTGGGGGTCACTGTTGCTCCATGGGCAACTTAAATGGGGTGGCTTGGTGGTCTAAGGTGGGCCATGTCCTCTGGGAATAAAGTATGGGGTCTAAGGTTTGCACACGGGTGTCAGGAGTTCAAACAGGGAAGCCTTGTTTAAATCTGTTCCCTGAGAAAATAAAATGCATTTCATGTAGGAAGCTGCTACATGCACCTCAACTCTACCTAGAAGTGCTGTGGAGAGCCACAGTCTGAAGCCTGGAGTGGTCAGGACTCCACAATGCCTGGCAACACTTCCTTAGGTGAATGAAAATACCTTTTTTTTTCTTAAAAAAATTATAAACAGAAATTTGAGAACTCAAGTTGTGGTTCAACAGAACATTTGCCTACTATGTGTAAGGTGTGAGTCCCCAGCTGCCCCTCAAAAACGCAAACACAACAAGTAAGCAGACTGACAAAGCTGGGCATGGCGGTGCCTACTTGCAGTCCTGACTCTTGACGGCAGAAAGAGAAGGAGTTCGAGGCCAGCCTCAATGACACGGGTAGTTGAAGGTAACCTCAGGGTTACAGGAGACTCTATAGCAAAACAAAGCAGAAACCACACCGAAAGCAAAGCTAACAATGAACAAACAACAACCAAATAAAGGAGGATAATTTCCCAAAGATGGACAATATCATTTCAACTAAAACTCTCATTTCTTTCTGCCTCAGAGACTTTTAGATCCATGAATTGGGACCCTAATTCCCAACCAGTAAAGAACACCAGAGTGGAAATTCTGGAAAAGGTAGAAGGTCAAGGATGCACCCAGGCCAATGGAGAAGTAATGCAGAAAGTGGACATACTATCAGAGAAATTAAAACAAATTAAACAAAGGTGTGCTGGCAGAGAAAGGAAAATATTATCTGAATCATTCTGTCTTTTAATTTCAACAAGAAGAATCCATACTCCAAACTTTAATTTTTGTGAGAAAATTGTAAAATATCTACTGTTAATAAATACAGCACTGTTTTACTCTTGCTTCCTTCTGATTGGAAGTGCATATTTAAAATAGTTTTAATTAGTTAAGTGGTAATTAAGTGTAATCAGCTCTAATTGATTACAGAACAGGGTAGTCTCACATTAAGTTTTAAGAAGTCCCAGTATTGGTACTTTACATAGTGTTTGCTCTATATTAAAATGTGTTTACTGAATGAAAATTACTAGAAAAAATATAGGGCTCAAAGTAGCATGCAAGTGTATAAAAAAGGCCACAATGATTGCCACTAGTCTATATAATTAATATTTACAAACAGAAGCAAAAGACCTCCCCAAGTCTGTTAAGTTTACATGAACTACCATTGATGTTGTAACACGGTAGTGAACAGCCACTGCAGGCTGCAGTAGTGCGATTAATGATCTTCGCAAGGAACTTTTGCAACAATCCAGTTTTTCTATCATTGATTAAAAGCTATGTGGAAGACTCAGCTTTTCAAACAGCTTGCTGTAAAGCCTCAGAGGCAGTAAAAATCAGGTTTTCTGATATTATTCTCTATGTTTAATGCCTAGATGTCATGTAGTGTGGATAGCCTTGATTAGGTGAGTACTTGAACAATTAGTCCAGCTATGCACTGACTCCCCCAGCTCCTAGAATGTACATCTAGACATGGGAGCAATGTTGTTAAAGGGCTGTAATACTTAGAGGAAATCACACACCCTCCGTTTTACCCATTTATGAGAAACAACTCCTATCAACCAAAATAAAAGATTCTGTGCAAGTGACTTGGTGTAGATATGGAAAATATTCGTGGGTGTTTCCTAAGAAAAATTCCTGTCTTTTTTTTTTTTAAATCCAAGTCAGAACTGATGTGTTCAGAAACTGAGTACATGAGTAGTCTCCAGTGGGCCCACCAGAATCAGGCCCAAGCCCTTGATTCTGGGGTGGTGTTTGTATCAGGGACTTCTCGGATGACTAGGGAGTATCCCCTTTTCCTAGCTGTGGAATCTCTGATGGAGCTACCATTATCAGGAATGGTCACATCATGCACAAATAATCCATGCTGTCATTTGCTGGTGTGAAGCATGCTGCCAGTAAGAAGCTTTGTTTTCAAGCTAGGATCACGTTGCTCACATTCCTCTCTTCTGAGCTTGGAGCTGGTGCCAATCACAAGTGCGGACCTGTGCTCCTCCCCGTGCCCATCACACTCCTACGACAGCGTCCACTGTCCACATCAATTCAGGGGCAATTTTGCTGAGTTTTGTCGCGATTTCGAGTTTATAGTGCTCATCTTCATGGTTGAGATTAGAACTGGAAGATCTAGAGACATCTTTAATAGTCTATCGTTTTGAATTAATCAAATGCGAATCTCTTTATGTGGAATACTCAGTTCAAAGTATTTCAATTATCTGTTGCCTAACTCTCTATCTTTGCTCTTCCTAGCTTTTTCCCAATTCCTTGCAGAAAAAACTTCATTCCTCTAGTCCTTGTTGGCTTCTTGGATCTCTGTCAGGAACAATGGCTCAATCATTGTCATTTGAAATTTCTGTTTTCCATTGCTGCTGAGGTGGTGAGGGAGGCAAAGGCACAGCACTTGGCTCTGGCTATCTGGGTAGTTTTCATCAGATGGCCTCCTTCCAAGAGTCTCTCTCTGGGAGAACAGACTGGCCGCAAGAGCCAGAAATCAGAAAAAGAAAGGAAAAAAATCTAACCCAAATTGTTGTGTCTGTGAATGACACCTCCAGCGGCCAGGCTTGCCCCACCAAGCCGTGGATGACGTCCTCTGGTTACATTTGATTACAGATGCATTGGAAGGGGAGAGTATGTCAGCCACTAAGAACCTTCATTCCTGACCTGGGCCATGAGGTTTTGCTCCACGCTCTTGCAGTCCAGCCCACATGGGTGTGATGGCCCAGAAACTATCTAATTGGAATCAGTGAAAGGGCAAAGCCTGGAATTTGGGAAAGGCAGAACACAGCTGTTCTGAATTACAGAGCAGGTTGTCAACTTTTGCAGACGAAGGGCCCTGCCATATAGGCCAGGCTTTCACCCAGGAGGCCAAAAACAGGAGGCCCAACAGAGGAGTCTGGCCTGGGAGAACTTTCCTCAGAGGCAAAATACATATCTGAAGTCTGAAAGTTCTTTGGCACTTCAGTCAGGCCACATGTGCTATGCTGATCTGAGGAGAGACCTTCATTTTCCTCCGCTGGTCAGACTGTAGTTTTATTTAAATATCTCATCCTGGATGCCACATCAGACACTGTGCTAACAACAGCAGTGCCTATTAACTACCTCTTCCTTTTACCTCCTATTTCCCATCCTCCTTTGTTAAAGCACTGGCTGGAAGACACAAAGTCATGAGAGCTTAAAGGGAAACCCAGCACACTCTGAAAATCAAGCAGTCCCGCACAAGGTTAAACGTCTGCTCTTAACTTGGCGAAGGAGAATTGCAACCTCAGAGAAAAGCGCTCCACATGGATCCCTGTTATGTGTCCCTGGAGCTCTGATGGCCTTCCAAGTTTCAACAAATATTATGATGAGTCCAGTTACCGCCACAGATCCTCTCCTCACCCCGTTCTCCCCCTGAAAGAACCTCCTTGGAAGAGCTCACGGCTGTTGAACCCAGAGGGAGAATCCTATTTTCAGTTTTGCGATGTTTGACAAAGGACTGAAAACATTTACAAAACCTGTCTTGCCTCGTGGCTTTCCTTTGCATGCTTGCACTCCTTACACAGTGTTTCTTTAGACGCCTCTTCTGCTCCACCCAGTCCCCTCAATGGCCAGGAGTCAACTGGATGGCAAAAGGTTGTGGAGCACCCACTACCCCATGTCCATTGCTCCGTGACTTCATTTCCTCGCTGTGTTTGCTGTGCAGGTTCTGTTATTTTTATTATCCTCTACTTTCGCTGTTTCAAAGTAAAAAACAAACAAACAAACAAAAAAATAACGTGTAGAAAGTTTTACTGACTTATCTAAAAGGTCCTTGTTGCATAGTGGTGGAACCAAAATTCAAGCACAAAGAAACTATCAAGTCTGCTGTTGCAAAAAAAAAAAAGTGTTTGTGAAGCAGCAGCAGCAGTGAACAAGTGTGTCCGCGTATGATGGTGGGATTGTGCATATGCTTCTCCTAAATGTATCTCTGTAGTTATTAACACATCCCATGGCAACTTTCAAACTATGATTCTCTTCAGTTTCCTCTAAAAGTCCTTCTGAAGAGACTGGGTTTACAAACAGTGAGAGGAAACAGAATGACGTTAGAGTCACAAGTGGCGAGAAACTATAGAAAGGTGGAAACTGAGCTCTCCAGAGTTTGGGGATGAAAAGCAAAGGGACTGAACATCTATGCTCAGATGTTGCCTGGAGCATAAACATTCATTGGCAAGATGAAGGAACAGAAGAAAATTTTCTCCAAGCTACCCAGAAGAAACTATGGCAAATGGGAATGAGCGAGGTTGTCTGGACAAACCTTAAAGACCTACCTAAAGTCAGTCACTCTGATCTGAAAATCAGCTTTGGATTATATTCCCAATTCTCAGTGTCACAAAGCAAGTCACACCCTGATATAGGACACATCTCTGCTTTTTGCATTCACCTGAGTACTGAAGGTCCTTAAGAATCTTGAGGTAAATAAGATAAGGGTCTTGATCCAGCCCTGAATTCATAACCCTGACTTCAGGTTGCATTCTAAAAATAGAAAGTTACAAAACTCCTCTGGAATGACAACTTCGTAGAAAATGTACAAAACTCATCTTTCTGAAATAATCAACAAGGAAAACAGGATTTTTAGATAGGTCACTGGTCCTGAGCCTGACCTAGTCTGTGTCTTTAGACCTTTCTCTGTGTATATCAATCAGTGACTACAGGATTAAAACATAAAGTAGCGATATAAAGACCCATAAACTGAAATTGCAGACTAAGAAGAAAAGGAACATTTTTCTCTATTTTTAGAGAACAGCAAAAATGGTCTCAGATTTTACTAAAAAACCCACTGTGGTTCCTCTTTTCAACTCTGCTGTTTAGTCACCTTTAAGTGTGTGGTAGAGATTTAAGCTCCTGGAAGTTGAGGCTGAAAATGGAGCAGTAAGCTGAACCTCATGGGAGGGCGTGGCTAATTTTTACTATAGAGTGTACTCTTTATACTCAAGTGCAGAGAGACCTGCCATTCGGACATGCGTGGAAAGATGGACACTGGAGTTGGAAAGACTTACAAAAGCAAGCTTATATGATTAAATGCAGTTTCTAATGCTTTTGGAATAAATGAAGGTAATTTCTGGCAGGGTAAGACGGGCCTTGGGGGAGGTCACTGTCATCACATTCTGCTTTTCTTTTCTTTTCTTTTCTTCTCCTCTCTCTCTCTCTCTCTCTCTCTCTCTCGCCCCCTCTCTCTTTATGTTTAGCAGTTAAGCAAATGGAACACGCATCTGTTGGAATTTAGGCCAGTTGATCTAGACAAACTCAGATCTTGACCTGCACGGGGACAATTCACCTCGTGAGAAACTGTTTATCCAAAACTGCCCCACAGCGGGGCAGTAGACCCATTATTCCTTCCTTTTGCTTCCACAATATTCAGACATCCCTTAAATACCATTCAGAGATCAGCTTTGGCCATCTGGGGCTTGCTTACTGAGGACAGGTGTATATTCACTAGTGGCCACATGGCTGGATATGCACCATGTTTAGAAACAAAAAAATGCATATTTTCCACATATGGTTTTCATAGCCTTCATACCTCATATTACTTTTAACAATCATCAAAGAAAACCCAAGCATAACCACATTGCCCATTATGCTATACTTTAGAATGTTATAAATAAGGTTCCAAATAGAGTTTCTTAAATGAAAACACACACTCAGCGTGCTCCTCTACCCCATGCAAAAACAAAGCGAGCACAAAGCAAATGACAGTGGCTACCTTTGGCATGGGGAACTGGCAGGCTCCGGAGCAATAATAAGCATCAAATGACTTGGGGGAGATAATCCATTCACTCCAGCCAATATCAGCAAAGTCCACTTTGAGGTACCTCCTGGCACAATTTCGAGGTTCGATCCATTGCTTTCGTCTTGCCTTCTTCAGGGTCTGTTCATCAAACTGCAGCGTCTGGCCTTTCTGATGAGGTCCTTTCCTCTGTTTCTTTTTGTTCTTACTCTTTTCAGGGGGCTGAGTCTGAAGGGTCTTGTAAGGCTTTCTCTGCTCCCACACGCCATCTTCCTTGTACTGATACTCGGCCCCAGGTAGCTCATTGTTCTGGAGAGGCATCAGGATTCCAGCAGAACGCTTCTTCCTCCTTTCAACAGAGAGGGCAGCTCTGATGTGGCTATCCAGTTTGGGCACAGTTCCTTCAGGGAAATCTCGGTGTCTCTGTAAGCTAGATACCACACTCTCTGGCTCAGAAATGGCCGCATCATTGGCGTACACCAAGATGTAAGGCTCCGGGGAAAGTAGCATGCGCCTGGGCTGCTCATGCGCTCTGGAAGTAATGTTAAACCCTATGAGGAACTCCTCGTTGTGCTTGACCTTTCTTAGGAGGTGAGTGATGTCTTTCGACAGCCAAGTCATGCTGTCTCGATAAGGTTTGGGCACATCTACTGAGAGGTGACCCAGGAGCTGACTTTGGTTGGGATTGAGGATCCACGCAGAGAGATCTATCTGCATGTGTTGTCTCTGCCCATGACGGGGACATCCTTGAGATACCGGACAGCTCCAGCTGATGTTCACTAATTCTCCAATACAGAAATATAGTGTGGCTGACAAAACATTTTCAGACTTGGTCAGAGAAGTCAGATTAAAGGTGTGCAGCCCCTTTCTTTCGAGAGTTCCTAGGGAAGAAAAACAAAAAGAGAAACTGAAGTAAATAGGAACTACTACTATTGTGTACACTATTCAAAATTCAACTCAGAATAAATCAGTGAACTAAATATAACAGCTAAAGCTCTAAAATCCTTATAAGAAGAAAACATGGGGATAAATCCTCATGATTTTTAGAGTTGGTAGCGGTTTTATGAATATGCCACCACATGAATTCAGTAAAAAGAAAAAAACATATCAATAAATAGAAGTTCTAAATAAAATTGACTTTATCGAGTTAAAATGTTTGTGCATCAAAGGTAAGTACTGAGAAAACGAAAAGATGATCTACAGAATTCGACAAAATATCACCTATCCATGTATCTAAAAGTTTAGTAGCCGGAAAGCAACATACAAGTGACAGCTTTGATTCAACAGAGATCCTGATATACAAAGGCCGTAGATACATCTCCAAAGAAGATAGACAAGTTCCTGGTAAGACATGAACACATGTTGAAAATCATTAGTCGCTAGGGAAATAAAACCAAAGCCTCAATGATATGACACCTCCCGAGGCAGTGTGGCTATCACAGGCAACAATTAAAAGCCTCACATACCAGAACATTTGCGGGAAGAAACTGGAACTCCTAATTATTAGGGTAGGTATATGTTAATTCAACTGCTATGGAAAACACTTTGGTATTTCCTCAAAAACCTAACCAGGGAATTAACATATGATAAAGTAAATTCCTCAGACACTGAAGATAGACACTGAATTAAGTACATTCACAGAAGCCAAAGGTGGTAACGGCCCAAATAGTCATCAGCCGATGGACAAATAACTTATAGTGTATACACACACACACACACACACACACACACACACACACACACACACACACACATATATATATATATATATAAGACAGAATGCTGTTACTGTGTTAGAACATGAGTGAAACTTGAGAAGTTATGCAAGACAAAGAAACCACATATAAAAGTTCACTTTATGTTTAATTTAATTTGCACTAAGCTATCTAAACTAGTTAAATCCAGAGATAGGAGCAGAAGGGTTCATTGGGGGTTAGAGGTAGCTGGGAATGAGAAGAAACTCTTTAACGGTTCTGAGGTTTTACTTCCAGTTGACAGAAGTATTTAAAAACAAGTTGGACTTTGCAATAGTGTGGCACCTGACAACATTACTGCTACTTCATCATCCATTCACTTTAAATTAGTTAATTTCATGTTATGTGAATTTTGCTTTCATGGAAAAAAGCAAGGAGGGGTATATGGGAGTGTCAGGAGGGAGGACAGGGAAGGGATAAATGATGTAATTATATTATAGTCTCAAAAGAAAGAACTTTTTAAGAAGGAAAACAACACAGAACAAAAATTGTTCAGCCTCCCGTTATTGAGGGTTTCTGTGAGGGAAAACGCTCAACTGACAGGAGTGAGCTTTAGAAGAAGACCGTGGCAAAGTTCGGTCAGCTTTGCTAGTTTGCCCTTAGCTGACGCTCCATAAATGTGCAGAAATTATAGAACACTAGAGCGCTTAGTTTGTATATGGGAGCAGGTGATGTGTGAGCTCTGGAGAATACCAAGACGGGTGTCTACAAACCCTGTACCTCTCCACTGCTGCCTCTGTGGGGTGTTTATTTATCTTTCTGGTGCAAGCAGGGGGTCTAGAATTTGACCTGGATTTATTAACTTTGTAACTCTGGACAAGCTAATGTTCTCATTCATAAAATAGAAAGACCATTACAAAAGACACTTTGTAATACTTTGTATTATCCAAAGTGCTTTGGATAAAGACATGGAGTCCCATTGGGTCACAAGACCGCTAAAAGCAGCATGAAAGCCTGGCTTCTCTCTACTCTGGATTAGATTCCTGACCAATTGGATCAGACTTGTAACTGGCTGAAGGATTATCTGCCTAAAATCTGGTGGTGCAAGAAGACAAAGCCCCAAATGTACCTAGCCTTGTCTCCCCTCAAGTATGAAAGCATAGCAATAAGAGCAACTAAGGTATTTCACAGGCGACTGTCAGTGCCCCATTCTGAACCCCTCCTCCAAAAGGGGCTTCCAGATCTCCAGGAAGCAGCCACTTTGAATTCCAGGTACCGTGAAGTTTTACAGGCAAGTTGACTTTATGATGGAGTTATTACTAAAAGGGCATGATTACATCACCATGGAAACTGGAACTGCCCCTGTACCCCTATAGAAAAAAATCATCTTGGGGACCATGTTGTCTCTTCAAGTGGTAAGGACTCATCCAGAGTCACTTGAAGCGACAGAATGGAGACAAAGAGCAGTCAGACCATACTTGGTTCAGGATTGCTTACGTAGACCCTTTGCATTCCGCCCCAGTCCTTCCTCTGTGGAAACCTGGAGCTCCCACCAGTTCTCTGAAGATGAGTTGAGACATCTAACTCATCTCTGCTGTCTTTCTGTTATCGCCAGACTGGTTAAATTCCTTGCCTACCTTCCCACTACTACTTTCCCATCCTCAATTTTTGTGTGAGGAGCCATGTCTATTTTGTTGGAAGCCACCAAGCTAGTCTTTGGCTACAGCGCCTATCCCCTCTGTCTTCAGAATCAACAAGATATGGATAATGTTCAGGAAGGTGCTAGTGTTTCTTAAATATAAATGTAAATTTCTGATCTGATCCAAGCCTGGACTGACATTGTTATAGGAATTATGACTCTTTCTACCTGCTTTACAAAACAAGATTGGGTAAGAGCTTAGCATTGGGATACTCTGTCTGAACAAATGAGTCACACCTACAAAAAATGTAAAAAACACAGCATTGCTGCTCAGCTTGTCTGAAGTTTGGTATTCTATAAATTCGAAATCTAAACTTACATAGTTCAAGAAAAATGACTGAAGTTGTTAAGTCATTGTACTAACTGAGAAATTAGCCATAGAAAGAGCAGAAAGCAGGTCAGTGAAGGCAGAAACCAGCTCTCCCAGGGTTATCTACTGAGTTCCAGCTAGGCCGAGGTGAGATCTGAAGAATCCAGACCCTGAGGTTTGTCCCAGAGAGACTGCCTCCATGCACTTGTTCCATATACATACTTATTTCAGAAACACACACGTAATCGTGAAATTATGTTCCTGATCAAAAACACGTTTCAGTAAAAAACAAAACATTTTTATAAAGATGTGGAAACTTAAAATGAGTTCATCAAGTCCCCAAGCATGGGGGAAGTGCAATGGGAAACATATTTTACTCATTTTTAACATTGTGTGAAGCAAAAGGAGGAAACTGCCATTTGTGCACATTTGTATAATCCATGACACTGGGATAATATCTTACAGACCTCTATAACAAAGCCATGGCATCAGGGCTGTTCAGGGGCTCTGCCCTTAATTCAGCCCAGTCACCGCAACGTATACTTTTACCCAAACTTCACATACCTGAGAGGCATTTAAAATGCAAGGAGGAGAAGGCCGCCCATTTCAAGTACACGGCAATGAAAGGTTGCTTACGAGTACACTGGTGGGGAATTGATGAACACCAAAGGATGGGGAGCCACTGTTTCCTCCACATTCTATCTCATTCCATCTAAATATGTCATTCCTTCAAGCATGTTTCTCCTTGCATTATACCCTGCTATCACTTAGCCACCTCCTCAGTTCCAATCTTCAATGTCAATTAACTCTTATAATTCTATCACATTGCCTTCTCATCCTAGCTCTCCCATTTCAGTCCCATGTCTTATCTCGCAGTAAAAGCCCTATGGTCAAGACTCATACATACTGTAGACAATAGCTAAACTCCCAAACGGCTGGTTCCTTCATCTATAAAGTACACTTAGTAGTATCAACTATAAAATTATTATAAGGATTCATTGAAAGAACTCCATCAAAACACACAGCACATAGACCCATTAACCACTAGCTAACTAGAACCTCACTGTCTGGGATGGTATTGTCTAATTGAGACAAATCCAGATGAATCATGGTGTTGGATAAATGTAGGTAGACTTGAAAGAGAGAAGAAAAAGAGTATAGAGAGTCATGAGATAAAGTTAGTGCTTTCAAAAAAGGGTAAAGTCTTTAAAGAGACAGAGTACAGATAGTTAGTCATAGATTAAAAGGAATAAAGAAAAATAAGCCAGGTAAAAATGGAAAATTCACAGAGAGTCTGGATTATGTATATTATTGTGTTATCTTTATACTTTTTGACTGTGAATGAGCTAAGTACAAAGAGACATTTCATTATCTGGACTGCGAAGCTAAACCAGCATGTATATTATAAAGTATCATGACTTTCAAATTTGGATCTAAGGACATGTTGCTTTGGAAAAGAGGTTCTTCTCTTGTTACCACAGAGGATGAGAACCTGTGGATTGTTTCCAGACTGGTGTGGTTTGATGGAACAAGATTCCCCCGAAGGCCACTGTGAACACCCCCCCAAAATTACTATGCCCAACAATCAACAGGAAGCAGTATGGAGAAAATTGTGCTCATATTCCCAAATATTGTCTATAAATGTTTATTTACATTTAAAGGGGGATATGATATAGATATGAATAATTTGCATTGGTATAGATCTTGGTTTATTGATATAAATTTAAGGTCAATCTTGTTATATGTATATTTCTGTTCTTGATTAAGATGTTGTGATTGTGTAGTTCATTTAAAAAATGTAATATATAATTAAGAAATATAGATTATTAGATAATCATCTATAATAGTCAAGCTTGTAGTCATGTTAGTTAGATTTTCTAAATGTATAGAGATATATTTTTGTTAGATATTCTTCAAATCTTTCAGAGACCTTCAGAATATGGCATTTAAAATGTTTAAGATCTTAAGACTTTTCATGACAGTGAGACATGTCTGCTCCTGGCAGCACCAGTTACTTCAAGAGGAAGATGGGCATCAAAGAGGCTTCTTATAGTATTTGCTAGTCATTTGGGCAAGAAACTGCTCTTGCCTGGACTGCTTAACTGGACATGCAGGACCCACAGAGAAATGACTACTGAGCTTGCCTAAATGGGAGATGGTCCTTCGGGGTTCCTGCAA